TTATACATATATATAAACTATATACACCATTATATTTTTAGAGTTGAATGTCGAATATACACACAGAAACAGATATTGTAGTTTATACAAAGAGAGCTTAATACTAAGCATGAAATTTTCTCCTAGAGAAAAGTCATCAAGCGACAAATGTACCAATTTAAAATACCAATATTTAATAAATGAAAGAAACAATTTGATATTCAACGATATCGTTTCACTCAGGGAGATATTTGGTGGGATTTGAGTAAAAAAACTTTAAGAAAATAATAACTTCCCAAGTAATTATAAAAAATCTACATCTATAAAATATATCGGTTTATTCAGGAAAGGGAAACTCCGTTAAAACCTAAATAATTTTCCCCATAGAACTATCTACATAGATTTTAGATCTGCCCCATTGAAATACTTTTCAGATGCACATTAAAAACTGTATTTGGGTTTATTTAATTACAAAGTGAGTTATTCCTTTCGTTTCACATTGAACTACATGTTTAATTTTTGGAATGTCATAAAATCGTCTTATAAACTATTACGCCAGTCCGCGTAAATACCATTTAAATTGCATATGTAAAAATTATTGCTAATAAAAATTATAATAAATACGCATTTGTATAAACATATAAAAAATATTTTAAATACACAGTTAAATACTCTAGGAATAAAAACAAAATGTGCATTGCATTGCTATGATGATGTTTTCAATATAAACATGAATTTAAAGCATAAACTCGTGATGCTGTCACCAACCAGATCTCCGATTCAGATCTATGCATAACAAATAATACTAAGAGAAAATCAAGGAGTACTAAAACTACACATCCAATGGAGTTTTTAACACAAATATTTAGCATCCATAGTCATTGAGTTGCTTTTCAGCTGAAAGCTGCCATTTGTCGACTTTCTATTGCTATGTTCCCTGCTCAGCCGCCTTGACTAGAGTTCGAGTTGGAGTTGGCGTTGCCGCTGCTCGAGCTGTTCGAACCACCGCAACAGTTGCTCTGCGCTGCTTTGGCACTTAAGCTGCCCAGTCCAATGGAGCCGCCGCCATCCGACTGACGTTGTGCAGCTGCAGCTGCGGCACTGGTGCCGTCCTTGCTGCGCGCTTGGCCAATGAGCTCGGCGGCGATTTCATAGAACAGGCGTTCTACGTTTTCCGCCTCTTTGGCGGATGTTTCCAGGAAGTACATGTCATGTTGTTTAGCAAACTCCTCGCCTATTTGCGTGGGAATTTCACGGTCATCGCGATCCGTCTTGTTGCCCACCAGAATTTTGAGCACCTTCGAGTTGGCGTACTCCTGGATCTCTCTCAACCAGTCGGGCAAACAGTCGAACGTGGGCTGGCAGCTGATATCATAAACGAGTATCAGCGCGTGCGCCGATCTATAGTAACTTTGTGTGATGGAACGAAAGCGCTCCTGTCCGGCTGTATCCCAGATTTGCAGCTTTATCTTTTCGCCCTCGACCTCAACGGTCTTAATCATGAAGTCCACACCAATTGTAGCTCCCTGTCCGGGCGGAAAGAGACCCTGAGTAAAGCGTCGCACCAGACAAGTCTTTCCAACACCTGCATTGCCTACGAGCACAATTTTAAATAGGAACTTGTAGTCCTCCATTTGCCGTTGAGTTCTGCTAAAATGTAAAACCAAAAAAAACAAAAAAAAAAGAGAAAAAAAAGAAACTAGTATACAGAGCTTTACTTAGGCTTAGACACACCTTAGTTAGCCACCCGTAACGTGTGTGTAAACGTAGGCGCGTTCGTATTGGGGGATGGTTTAGTTGCTGGGTTGCGTTGGAGTTTCACCCGCAGATGCAGCTTACGCCACTTTTCATTTACGCAACTGCCTCTCACCTGTGGCTGTGGTAGTGGTGCGCTCTTTACACGCAACCTACGTATACGGTCTAGCGCTCGCCGTTACCTCCAAGGCTGCTGCAACTCTTCTTCTGCTCTGTGTTATTGACTGGGACGCTGATGACTCAACAATTAGCACTGCCAGCAGTGTAAGTTCTCGGGAATACGTTTTGGACTACGTAGCGCCATTCAATCAATTTGGCACCTGTTCGACACGATCTTCTTTTGTTTATAAAGCTCAATTCAAACGGCTGTAAATGCAAGTAATGATAATACTTCTGCAAATCCCAAATTTCGCTGCGTATATGTAAATAAAAACAAATCGATTAATCTGATGGTGATATGGCAACGCTATAGTTGCCTCTTGAAGGCAGGTTAGAGTTGCAAGCAAAATCAATAATTTATATTATATAACAAACTTGTTCAAATGAATGTTGTTCAAATTGTTATTTTAATATAAATATTAGTAAAATATTTATTTCTGTTAATTAGTACCATATTTAAAATTTTAAATTTTACATGCGAGACAAAGAATCGATACCGTTGTAGGTATCGATGTGTATTCATTATCAACCCTGAAGCAACACAACATAGCCAGCCACGCTGTGAAAAAATATTAAAATATAAGGAAATTGTCATTAAACTTCGAAAGCAATTGAAACCCCTGTTCGTAAGTGAATCTTCGAGTTGCGGTGTGCATACCAACAAAACTTTTGGTTTCTTCAAACGTGCTAGACAACTACTTGGGGAGTTTGTTCCCGTCCCAAAAATTCAACATGGCCGAAGACTTTGATGTTGAAGCAATGCTGGAAGCGCCGTACCAAAAAAACGTAAGTGTAGCTATTTGTTATCTAGACATATATATTAATTAAGAAACGGTATGTACCAATTATGTTATCCCTACGACAATGGTATATTTTATGAAAATTTGTATACTTCTTTCCCAAATAGACACCTACAAGCGTTCTCGCGTTCTCATGTGATATACATACATACATGCATATGAATGTATGTAAGATGTCTGAAAAACAGGCACTCAGGCACAGACACGTAAAGTTTTCTTAACATCTTTATGCGCTTATGTATGCATTTCTGTGTGTGTGTGTGTGTGTGTGTGTGTGTATATATGTGTGCATGTGTGGCTATTGCATTGAAATGGCTTTCTTTAAATCGATTTTAAGCCTTAATTCTAAAAGTGCAATCGACAATCGACGACAACGATTTGCAAAGGTCGGCCGCTGGTTATCGTCTTTATATGTCTTTACATGACTGAATGTGATGCCTAATGAAACCCCCATGTACATTAGTGGGCGAGTGTGTGCGTGTGTGTGTGTGTGTGTGTGTGTGTGTGTGACTTCTTTGTTTTAGTATTAATTTGCACATAATCGTAATGTATCATATACTTACCTTTAGTTTTATTTGAGGCTTTCGGTTGTTAGGCTGGTTCTTTAATTTCTTATCTTTATAAAGTGTCAAGTAGTAATTTGATAAGGAAATGTGAATTAAGAAATTCATATTCAAACCTATGCTGTTTTTTATTCAAAACAGGTTGACAAGCTTTCATCACAAAAAAGCGGTTTCATACATTATTATTTTTTTATAGTGTGGTATTTGGTATTGCATATACCAGGTAGTATCAGAAATCATATAAAGTGAATTTGTATTAAATCATATGAAATATGATAGAATATTATTTATGTATGCCATGTCTATTTGATTTCTACTTTTCATGAAAAATGTTTTCGAAATATGAAATTATTCAAACTTAATAGCTGAGTGGTTGCTCTCTCTTTTCTGTCTCTATCTCTCTTTAAAATAAAAAATAAAACAATTGCAATGTGCAAGTTAATAAGATAATATCACACTACCCAACAAAATAAAAGAAAACTTTTAAAACAAAAAGCGAGAATAATTCTTAAGGGTGAAATGTCTTTGCAGAAATCGTATAAGCTCAATATTGTTGCTAGTGATTGTTTTGGTCATTCTAAACACAAAAAGCTGGAGACCATTTGGTAAGTTTTGAATGTACCAGAAACTGCGAAAAAAAAATAAAAATAAAAAACAAAAACATTTAAAGAAAATAAAACCAAAACATGTAGGCATTTGTTTTCTGTATAATTTCCGTTTCTGTTATGTTTTTATGAATTTGTTCTTTAAATTGCTTTAAAAAAAAAAAAAAAAACAAACAATGAAAACTGAACGTGCACTAAATTTCAGATATACTCTACCTATTGTTGTCTGGGGCAGCAGGCAGCTCTACTACTACTCTCACTCACAGACAGACAAGAATGAAAGAAAATGTCACAAGTCCACTTCACTGCTCTTTCAGGAGTCGAGTCTGAAATGCCCTAATATAAAATATATATACAAAATCATATATAAATCACACCAAAGATCAAAAGCCTATAAAAATTGAAAGAAAAACGTAATAAGAAAATATCAATTTATTTCACTACACAAATATATCTTATAACTTATATCTATGTATATGTATGTCCCATATAGACGTGAGCGCCTGCGATCTGGTGGCCAGAGTCTTTAGAGTCAAATAAGAGCCAAAGCAACCAGTCAACAAACCATCCCAACCACTAGCCAGCGCTAATACCCAATTAACGAAACGAATATTGAAATATGTGTGGAGACATTTCGCCGTGATCTACTTATCTATGTGTGTGCTCCAAAGCCTATCTATCACTTTATACATAAATAGATAGGTATACGTGATATGATGTACTCAAATTTATATATATACATATATATTTCTTAGGTACATATGTGTATATATATATACCTCTCTACAAGACAGACAAGCGTCTCGAAGAAATCTGTCGATATTTGATACTCGTATTAATCGCATATGTATTACTATTACTATTACTCTATTGCTATATTGCTGTAAATTAGCAATGATCTGTAAACCGATCATTGTTGACTTAAGCATTTCTATTTTATATACTTGCAGATACCAAAAATTTAACTAATTTACTTTGATTTGCTTTCTCTTATTCAAAAAAAAAAAAAAAAAATCGAAAAAAAAAACAAATATTTTACAATAAAAAACAATACAAATCATACCTGAACAAATATTGTAAAATGAATACAACAACAAACCGAAAACAACGTAACGTGGGATCGTCGACGAACCGAAACGTTATGTGTGTTTGTGTCTCCATGTCCCCCACAAAACATGAACAAATGAAACTATCCAATTCTATGTATGTACATTATTGCTTGCGACTTCCACCTCCCATGTCTCCACCCAACCAACCAAATACCAAAACCAAAACCCTATCTGTAGAACGTCAGTGCGGGCAGCGCTGGACGTGGACACGGGCGCAGCAGCGGCAGCGAGAGCGGAGGCCACGATGACAACGAGGAGGATGAACGCTATGCGGAGAACGGAACCCGTTCCTCAAATGGCAACAAAAAACGGAGCCATCGCTCACGGTAAACTTGAATGGAAATTCTTACAAAATTGAAATCATTTTAATTGATTTTACTGTATTCTCTTTCTTTCTTCCATAACAGTAGTCGCAGTGGATCGCGCCACAGACGCTCCAAGGATCGGGAACGCGAGAAGGAGCGCGGCAGAGAGCGCAGCAGCTATCGTGAAAAGGATAGAGATAGGGAACGGGAGCGCGATCAACGAGATCATCGTTATCGCGATGGCAAACGCAGCAGTCGCACACGCGACGAACGTCCCAGCGATGACAGACGTGGTGGCCGCAATGATCGCGATCGCGATCGTGATCGTGATCGGCGTTCACGCGAAAGGCGTGGCGGCAGCAAGAGTATGCAACGGGATAGCGAGCGTAAACGCAGCAGATCTCGTGACAAGCGTCGTCGTAGTCGCTCGCGTGACCTGCAGCGCAAGCGCATGAGTCCCATACGCGAACGTCGGCGGAGCCATTCACGCTCCAGAGATACAAAGTATGGCGTAATTATATTATTATACTTATCATATGATATTAATTTTGTCTTCTTTTTCTTTTAATTTGAATCGTATAGCAGTCGCCGTCGCACTAGTTACTCACCACGCCCATATGGCGGACGCGGACGTGGTGGTGGCAGATCGCCGCCGAATGGCATTGGGGATCGCACACCACCCACTGAGCTAAGTCCTGAGGAGCGCGATGCACGGACAGTCTTTTGCATTCAGCTATCACAGCGTGTGCGCGCCCGCGATCTAGAGGAGTTCTTCTCCAGCGTGGGAAAGGTGCGCGATGTCCGTCTAATTACGTGCAACAAGACTAAACGCTTCAAGGGTATTGCGTACATTGAATTTGAGGACCCGGAATCTGTGGCATTAGCTCTGGGATTGTCGGGACAGCGGTTGCTGGGCGTACCGATCATGGTGCAGCATACGCAGGCAGAGAAGAATCGACTGCAGAGTGCGCCGCCTCCATTTCAGCCCAAGGCTCACACAGGACCCATGCGACTATATGTGGGATCGCTGCACTTCAACATCACCGAGGACATGCTGCGTGGCATATTTGAGCCTTTTGGCAAAATTGATGCTATCCAGTTGATTATGGATACGGAGACGGGTCGGTCAAAGGGCTACGGCTTTATTACGGTAATACTAAAAGCGTTCAATATTTTTGTAGATTTAACAATTAATATTTTTCTAATTTATAGTATCACAACGCAGATGATGCCAAAAAGGCTTTGGAGCAACTGAACGGCTTTGAACTGGCGGGAAGGCCAATGAAAGTGGGCAATGTGACAGAGCGTTTGGACATGAATACTAGTTCGCTGGACACTGATGAAATGGATCGCAGCGGCATTGATCTCGGTGCCACGGGACGTTTACAGCTGATGTTTAAGCTAGCCGAGGGCGCAGGCCTGGCCGTACCACAGGCTGCAGCCAATGCGTTGCTGGCAACAGCTCCACAGCCTGCGCCGGTGCTGCAGCAGCAACAGACGCCATCCATAGCTACTCAGTGCTTTATACTGTCCAACATGTTTGATCCGCGCACCGAGACAAATCCCACCTGGGCTACGGATGTGCGTGACGATGTGCTCGACGAATGCGCCAAGCACGGTGGCGTTCTGCATATACACGTGGACACCGTATCACCAACGGGTACGGTTTATGTGAAATGTCCGAGTACGACGACAGCGGTGCTTGCGGTAAATGCGCTGCACGGACGCTGGTTCGCTGGCCGTGTGATCACGGCGGCGTACGTGCCAGTTATCAACTATCACTCGATGTTTCCGGATGCTATCAGTGCAGTCGATTTGATTGCCTCGACACGTAAAAATGCTGACGATTAAACGGACGGGAAAGGCAAAGGCGAAGGCGATAGATTTGCAACTGCAACACTATGCAACTAAATACTGTTATTATTCGTTAAACATCCAAGTTTTGTAATAATTTTAACATTTTTTTGAAAGACTTTCCAAACTCGTGTAATTGTCCTGCGCTAGCTGAAGAATATATGGGGCAAATCAAAATACAATTACATTATAATTAAAGATATACATAATATATATAACAATGTATGCATCAGATAATTAGGCATTCCTAACACGCCAAAAAATCTATTTGGATTTTAATTCGAAACATTTTGAGACATTAAAAATTTGTAATTATTTTACCCTAAAGCATGATTTTAGACAGCGCTACATAATGTGAAATGCTATGTAAACAAAAAAATAAAATAAAATATTTTGTAGACAAGAATTTAAAACAAAAATAAAAATCAAATTTGACATTTTTTGCTTCAAACCAAGGCTATTTACAATCCGTGATCGCTCTCAAGATGTTGTGTGGAAGTAATTGAATGCAATTAGCGAAGATTCGTATGCTTTTTAATAAACAAAAATATATATATTTGAAAAAGTAAAATGTACAAATGATTATCCAAAATGAATATCGAAAAAGCTATCGATATAAATAAAAGCTGTTTACCAAAACATCGATTGCTATTAAGAGGCTGACAATCGCGTTTCGTTCCACCACCAGTGTGCGCAAGATATTGGCTGCAGCTGCAGAAAAAGCAAATTCCTTACACCAACGATTATTTTATTTAGTTTAAACTCAATGTGACTCGACGCACACAAATACAAAGTGTATATTTTACTAGCTAAACAAATTACGATTAGTTTTTCTTTCCATCGATTGACGCGCGCTTGTGCAGAGAGAACATTGGCATGTGGTTTTCGCTTCGATTTTTAGTGTGAAAGCAGCCACAACACATCCAAATAAAAAAAATGAAATAAAAAATGGCAAACACATGCACAACTACAACAAATGTAGGTATTGTCGAGCAACAACAACGATAAAGTTGTGCTGAAAATGAAAATTCAATAATTCGTGGATTGTGTGGGTTACATATTCAAAACAAAACAAGCTTGGAAAAAATTATGAAATATGAGTAACATTCACGCTGATGAATGAGTGCGCGAGTGCTGAGTGCTGAGCAAATGATGACAGTGTTTTATAATCGCACATTTGTAGTGGGCGCGCTCCTCGACCAAACACAAACACACACACAACCAGTGTCATATGAATACGCACAATACATTCCTGCGCCCACGCATCCCATTTTTGACCTCCCCTACTGAGCATAACCAGCAGCAGCATCCCCCATTCCAAATCCCAGCCCAGCTGATTCATGTTTGGCAATGCATGCGGAACACACTTTAAATAAATTCATTTTACAAATTACAACGGTGTCGTCTAATGACCCTGCTCCACTGACGGCGACGTCGTCTTCGATGGCAGCGCTGCTTATATAAGTGTGCGATAAATATGTGTATATTGTGTGTCTGTGTCGGTGCGTATGCCAAAAAATTGAGTACACCGTAAAAACAGCCAGAACGAAGCGAGGAAAGCCAAAAACAACAGCAGCAGCAATAGGCAAACTATTTAAGCACAAGCTGATGCCAACAAAGGGAAACGAAACTTTAACAAATTAGTATTTGGCTTTTTCTCTTTTTTGTTTTTTTTTTTTTTTGGCAAGCGTCGCCATTGCTGCAGCCAGCCATTGCTTGCCTTTGGCTTTCAAATTTATTTTAGAGAATTATGCCATTCATCCATTCAGTTTTGCTGGCAACGCGCGCTTAACAGTGGACAGTGAAACGAAACGTAACACAGCTAAAAAATAAAAATAAAAAAATTAAGTGGAAAATGTCTCGAACAAGACGCGCGAGAACAAAAATCAACAACAACGGGAACAAGAGCAACGGCAGCCAATAGCAATTTGCTTTTTTTTTCCCTTATTCCCTTACATATCATTCGCTTCGCTGCTGACATCGCCGGCTTCCACTCACATTCACACTTACGAGTTTGTTGTGTTTGTGTTTGCTTCTGTCTATATGTAAATTTCTATTACGCAATGCAGCTGCTGCAGTGGAAATGGCTAAGCGTCGATAGCAAAAAAAACAAAATGAAATAAATTAATAAGCAGTCGCAAAATTCGTTCACTGTTATCGCAATTATCGCGAAACCTTTGTGCTCGCTCGATCTAACGGCGACGGTCAGGGAATACCTCCGATGTGGCGCGCAGTGGCTATTGCTTTCCATGCAGTCGACGTCGCCGTCGACATCGCCGTTCGCGTCAGCGTCACATGCTCTTATTAAAACAGCCTTTGTGCGTCAGCGCCATTGACTTCGAATTGCCTTGAAAAGCTTTTGGGCAGAGGAAGTGCAACTTTTCACCGCAATTTCGCTCCCACTAATAAGTTGTATTCGAGCGAGTGCTTG